TATGCAAACAATGAATCATGGAACACTACATCAAAAACTAATGATGTAATAATGTATGGTGATTAATATAACAATAAAAAATTTAAAACAAAAATCCTCCTTTCTCCCCTACCCCAGACAGTTTGGTTATTCACTGGTAAAAATGAATCCTCAAAGGAATCACTAGCCAACCAATTCCTCAAATAGCCAAACTGTAATCAGTTAGGACACCCTAGTTGTATTATTATATAGGAAATGTTGGTCTAGAGAAGTCTGGAAGATGGCAGCAACAAATTCCCACATAAAAATAGAGGAACTACATAGAAAAGCCAAAATCCAATGACAACATTTGCAACAAAACAGCGTGAAAACCCAAAATATAAGCAAATGGGGACAAACAACCACCAGCCACAAGACCTACATGTTATAGGCGTCTGTGTGGAAGAAAGAAAAGGAAAACAATGGGGCCAGCATCTGATGGGCCCCAAAATAGCCCACAGTTGTTCAATGGTAAGTATAGTGGGCCAATTTAAGGACCACAGCTCAGACAGGTTTCACTGTGTCCAATGATGAGCGAGTCAAAGTATCTATGGTAAAGATTTAAAGAGCCCCACACTGGGAAGAATCAGCGAGGAGCAGAAAAACACGCAGAATAACATGATTTATTTCATAAATCAAAAATATAAAGTCCCTGTAATAAAAATATAAAACTCAGTACTAGGACTTGATGGGACTATAATAAATATTTATTTAATCAACAAACAAACTACTGTCATCTGTGATTACAGGTGCACCTAAGGTCCTGATACAACACAGCAAAAACTTTCAATTTTTTTCTTACTATGATCTACAGAGAAATAGATATACATGACACAGTATACAGACACGTATATGAAAACAATGTTCTGAAATGATGTTTATTTGCCCTTATTACCAAGCACCTCAATTTTTCTATTCTAGTCTTTTTTTTTTGGCAGGAAGCTGAGGTCTAAGAGGAGACTGGTCTGAATTTACAGTTTGAAAAACACTGCGTGTCTAAGCTGTGTTACTCTGGGCAAATTATTTACCCTCTTTGTGCTTCCGATTCCTCATTTATAAAATAGTAATTATATTTACGTTACAAGGTTCTTTAGAAAATTAGAGTTTATCCATGGAAAGCACCTACAATGCTGTCTGAGACACAGTGAGCACTCAATAAATGTGTGCTATTATTGTTCCCTTGCCACTGTTGTTATCTGAGTCAAAGTCTAAGAATTTGGGTCCAACACATAAGAGAGGAAAATTTCAAGTGAGATACAGTTCATATAATAAAGTGCTCTGAAAACAGACTAGGAAAGGATATGTTGAATTCCATGTTCATAAAAAATCTCTTAGTTAATAACCAAAAACATGGTTTTTTTTTTTTTTTTTTTTGCCATAGCTTCAACCACTGCTTACCTATGATGTCATTTCTCATTGCTTCTGTAATTGGTATCGGTTTAGCAGCATCTGGAGATATATATTTGGTAAAAGTATTCACTGCATCTTGTTCTATACCTGCAAGGGAAGAAGGGGACAACTTCAAAATTTAAAGAGCAACTTGGACGAGTAATGGACTAGAATCATGAAGAGCACAGCTGTTTGCAGTACGACCAAGCACACACACTCACACAAATACATATACGTGTATTACAAATATGTAACAACGTATTTAGGACAAAACAGCCTCCAGCATGTTACATTTTCACTGTCTGGTTTGTACAACAGAGTTCTATGTGGAACACCCCCCCGCCACTCCCCATCTAAACTAATGAGCTTCATAACAGCAATTACTTCTGCACGTTCTCTTTCCATGTCTCTTCTCCAAAGTCTGAACCTGAGGGACTTGCACAGCAATGTAACAGCAAGGGCTATTAAAAATAAAAAAATAATGGGTGCCTGGGTGGATCAGCTGGTTAAGCAACTGCCTTCGGCTCAGGTCATGATCCCAGGGTCCTGGGATCGAGCCCCGTATCGGGCTCCCTGCTCGGTGGGAAGCCTGCTTCTCCTTCTCCCACTCCCCCCTGCTTGTGTTCCCTCTCTCGCTGTCTCTGTCAATTAAATAAATAAAATCTTAAAAAAATATATTTATAAACCTACACTTAAAATATTTTACAAAATTATTTCACGTTTATGAATAAATCTGTTTAACTTTCAACAACCTTAGAAGGTTAAAACAATGGATCTCAAACTTTTTAGTTTCAGGACTTCTTTGCAACCCTAAATTACTGAGGAACCTAAAGAACTTTTGTTAATGGGAGTTTTATCTATAGATATTAAGGTATTAGAAATAAAAAAACAAGAAAAATTACTGACTCAAAGTTAACAATACTAAATCTTTTATAAGTTAAATACATTTTTTTATGAAAAAAAACTATTTTCCAAGCTGAAAAAAATTACTGAGGGCATTATTTTCCATTTTTGCAACACTCTGTCTTGATACGAAACTGCTATGTTTTCATTTCTGCTTTGACATTCAATCTGCTGTGCTATTTTGTGTTGGCTGAAGTCTATTTTGATAGTGATATAATAAATATATGTATATATATATTTACACACATACATACATATAGTCTTCACCCTTGCTGCTGGCAGAGAGCTTTTCTAAAACCCCTGGAATTTCCTGAGTGGGAGGGGTGAGAGAAGCATATTTTGTTATTCATAATAAGCCTCTTTCAACCATAGGGAAGTTTATGGTTGAGGTGACTTGCAGAATGGGGCTGGCTGTCAGAGGAACCAACCATGTGATTATAGCATTGGAACTTTCAGCCCCACTTCCCATCCTCCAGGGAGGGTAGAAGGGCTGGGGATCATCAAGTTAATCACCAATGGCCAATAATTTAACCAATCACGCCCACGTTATAGAATCATAAAACCCCTGAATGAAGTGGTTCAGAGACCTTCTGGGTTGGTGAATGCATCCATTTGCTGGAAGGGTGGCACATCCCAACCCCACAAAGACAGGGGCTCCTGCACTTGGGATCCTTCTTTATTTTTTAAATCCATGGGTTTTTTTAATGTTATTTCAGCTTTTTTTTTTTTT